ATAATAAGGTCCAGGCTTGACAATCTGCATCCTATTAGGAAAATGGACATCTTGTAGGGGCCCATTAGGTTTGGGCAAAACTATTTCCCAGCTATAATTAGTATTCATCCCTAATTAGTGACTACCCCATTTCTAATATAAGAGTTAGATATGAGTTGAATTTGGCTGTAAATATAATAGATTAATCCATTTTTCCCTTCATAATTATCATTTTTTCCCAAATCATCCCTATTAATTGTATATGTTAAAAATGTTTGCATTAAATGTAGTTTTCATGAAAATGATTTAAGAGGTTATTTTAGAAAATTTAGCACATTTTTTTTGAATAAAAACTAATTTAAATAAATCTATATTAAGCACTAGAACTTTAAAAAAAAAAAAATGATCTGGTGTGTGTAGAGCGCAATGTGGTAGCTTGAAAGGGCTAAAAACAATCTCTTTAGTTGGGTGAGCCCAATACAGCTTGGTATCTTTTGGGCCAAGACAGGGCCGAACCCATCACAAATTGGGTTCAGTTCATAGAAATTTGAAGTATAAATGTGATATTTATCTGTCCTCCGAAGGATCAGATTACCTGATTTCCGTAACCAAATAGAGGTTGCTAGGTCCTTCGCCTTCTCAACTCATAAGGCCCTCGAGTCTGATTCAAAACTGTCTGCGATAGATCACGTCGAACTGAAGCACTTAAGAAAGAAGCTGAGAACTTTTGGTTGATTTGATGCTCATTCTGACACGGTTCATATAAAGTCACAGCACAGACATAACCTGGTTGCTGCTACTAGACATGACGTCTAAGGGGTGTGTTTGGATGAAACCAAACTGTGGTTTGGAAAAGTGATTCTGGAGAATAGATTCTGTGAAGAATAAATTCTGGAGTGATTTTGAAAAGTGAGAGTGTTTGGATAGTTATTATCAGAAGCACTTTTTGTATACACAAATTACTAAAAAAAAAGACATAAGTTAATATGATAATTACAGAAAAATAGATTTTATGATATATTTTAATTTGAAGGAATAAAATTGTTAATAATATATTTTTTACCAACATAATTAATAATACATAAGATAATATAATTAATAAATAATTAATATGTATATATATTTATAAAATATAAGATTAAATATGTTTATAAAAAAATATATTTATAAAAAAAATAACAAGATACATATCCTATAGGCTCTCACACTCTCTCTCTTTTCTCCAAAAGCAAAAAATTTTTACTTTTTCCAAAACTATGGTTTTGACCCAAAACCATGGTTTGGTTTTTAGGATGACTGTTTGGGCAGTTTTTTACCCAAACCATGGTTTGGGCCTCCAAACCATAGTTTGGGCAAACATCCAAACGGTACCTTATGCACCTACACACATGGTTTTTGGGGTTAAACGATGTTTTAAGTCACTTCAAAAATGAGGGGTTTTTTTTCTTTTTTTTTTTGCTTTGACTTTTGACTCTTCTTTATATGTGTACATTTTGAAACTGACTTGTTAATTGACGCATCTTGAAAATAAATTTCTATCAAACTAACTTTTTTTAATATAAAAATCTACCCAAATGATATTACATTATAATAATTGACTTTTACCTCAACAGTAATTTACAAAAATTAGTTGAGATATACCAATAGGATTGGGTTTAGCAAAAGAAATTAATACCCACAACATGGTAAATAAAGATTTAAATTTTTATTAGGAGAGGTGCCCATTGCGCATGATTGTCTTCTTACAAAGAGTATCTATTTAAGAATCATTGCTGTTCCCCAAACCACTTTTGTCGTTTACTTTCCCCACATGTGATAGAATAGAAGCAAATAGTTAACTAAGCAACATGTTAGAAATTAAATTTATAATTCAATTTTCTATTTTTAGTTTTTTTTAAAACTAATTAAAATTTTTCATTTATATTAATTTAATATGGATTTCAATTTTCATTCTCTCTATTTTTCTTTATTTTGAACATACCCCTATCCTTGGCCATAGCCTTTTGGCGAAGATTAACAATGAAATCATGTTTTTTTAGTGCTTGTTGATTATTTAAAATCCCTTAACAACTTGTTTTCATAATGTACTATGAATACAACCTCTCAGATTCGTATTTACAAAGAACAAAAAAAGTCAAAATGTGGTCTTAATTCTAGCATTTTATCAGAGAGAGAATTCATTATTAATTTGAGTCGCATCTAACAAAACCTCTAATTCTCTATGGGCTTTTTTCTGGTAGTTTCATCCAATAATTACGTACTTAAGTTTCATTGAGATCACTTCTGATACTTAATGTAACAGTTAGATAACTAACTCGCGGATATTAAGAAAATTAGCTAAGTTGATTATTTGCAATAATGTGTTAGTTTTCCTAAACTAATCATATACTTTGGAGGTAAAAATAATAAATTTGGGAGACAAGTAGATTTTGGTCTTATATTTAAGACAAAATAATCGCCAACTAGTACTATTCTTGTATGATCACATTATAAGGCAAGCCAAGGCGAATATGCGCATGTATCTTTGAGAAAGAAACAAGATTCAAGAAACTCAGTGAACTGGTTGGATCTTTAGGGAATCTCAGCTGAAACAACATGGTGCTTCGGGAGATCAGAGAATGAGTGATATATTAGGGCTTCTGATTTCTGCTTTCCAGATTGAGTAATAAATTTGCCTGTCAAGTTTTATGCCTCAAATGAGTGTTATTTTAGAGGAGTTGGAGAATGATGCAAGAGCTCTTCTGAGGGATCCTCTTGACTGTCTTCTTCTCTTTGTAGCATGCATTTTGTTTAGGAGTTTAATTTACAAATTCTCTTATTAAAAAGATTATCACTAATTAATTAGCGATGAAATTCTACCATTAGACTTCGTCATTATTTTACTATTTTTTTGTAGTGATACTTTGAGTATAGAGATTATGATTTTAGGATCTAGGGTGTTAGCTAGTATAATTGCTGCCCCTTAATTTCTGTCATTTCTCAAATGTTTCTTTCTGTTTCTTTTTTATTATTATATTCTACATAAAATCATTAACATTTTGATATTTTATGGGTAGAGATAGCAATACGGGCTCAATGTTTACATGGTGCAGTTTTGATTTTTTTTTTTTTAATGAAGCATAACTTGTTTGTGATGTATGACTCATCATTCTTGTATATGCTATACTTTTCTGCCATCCATGCAAGAGATTTGATTTCTGCATCATTATGCTTGTTTTAATTTTTGAGCATGGGGGGCGTTAGAATATAGTCTATTCATTAAGTCAAGACTTTGGAACTCTAAAAGGTTAAGATGAATATAAAAATATACTGAAGACAATTAGAAATGTGAACTCTTCGGTTTGAACTCTTCATCAAAGATTAAGCAAAGACATAAACAGATAAGGACCATGCGAGATCAGTTCCCTTTTGATGGTTGTTTCAGTGAAGGTAAAATTTCTGAGTTCAGATTCATGCCCTTGTTTTTTTGGCCAAACTCCGTCCACTTGATCACCATATGAGACGCGTTTAGTTTGATTAATAAGCAACGTACCTTACCTTGTTAAAGTTCTTATATTATATATGAATTTACAACAATATCCAATATATATGTCCGATCCTGGCAGAAATTATTAATTAACGACGGAACATGCCGTACTATGTAAGCATTGATATGCTGTTCTGGTTCTAACTTGTTGAAGAGAAATATATACCCCCCCTCACATAAAACTTTATCTTTCTACAGGAGAGTTGTTGGCAGCCTGCTGTTTGACAGTTTTAGGTTGTCAGAGTTATTGCTAGAGCAGATGGAGCCTGTCACAGAATTTTGGGTCTTTAGTTATAGCTTTTAAGACTAAACAACACAAGTACAGAATATTAATACATATAGAAAACACACATTCAAAATATATATACAAGCCACTTTCAATGTGTTTTATTAAAAAATTGAAGTTCATTAAATTTCTCTTAAAATTTAACAATTTTTTTAACCTTGACTTTATTTGATAAATATACTTTTCTCAAGAAAATAACAATTTACACAATAAGTAATACAATAGTAAGTCACATTATGAATTTAACAACGTAACTTATAAAGAGAACAAAAAGACGTTCTATCTCTGTCTTGTGAGCAAAAGGAGCCATATATGTTCAGTTTGAAGTGATATACTCCCTCTAGTCTTGATTATAAGAGACAATTAACCAATTTACATCTACTCAAAAAAAATCAAATACATTAAATTTGTCATAAAATTCAAATGATTTCCAGTATTATCCTCATTAACTATAATAAATTCTAACATCATATTGGTTTCTACTCTCTTACTATCCTCATTAACTATGGACATGTGTGGGACAAAAAAATCTTTAGTGCTCATTGAAACTATCATATGATCTTACAAAAAGAACAAAAAATTTCTTCTAATATGGGTCTTATAATAAGGATAAGAGGGAGTACCTCAGTTCCATAGCTTTTGCTTGTGGCTGGTTCAGCTGTGGATGGTTTGGAGCTTGCAAACCATATTTGTTGATGGTATTGTATGGAGGATCGGAATTCCCATTTTCTTCATTCATATTGATCCTTGCTTCATGAATCTGATTAAGATAAAATCCTCTATTTAGGCTTTTGGTGATAACCTTAAAGTGTTTTGTCATTTAATGATTGCCCTCTCCCCTCTTTTGTGCTTGTTGAGGACAAGATAAGGTATATGAATGGAATGTTTCTTTTTCCAACTTACCTTCTGTAATTCTACATTTTCTTTAGTAATAAGGTGTATCCTTTTATGGAGCTGTACATTTTCTTGTCGGATTTGATTTCCCTGCAATAGTATTTCAATGGTTTGGCTAAGGTTTGTAGGGAAGACCTTTCTAATATGGAAGGAGCAAAAACAAAATTATCTTTATATACCTTTTGTTGCAGCTCTTCAATCTCATCAGTTAACATTTGATTCTGCAAATTAAATAAATCAGTTATCAATTTATGATAATATATCATTAATCCTGTCATGTAAAATTAACTAATGAAGATGGTCTTAATCAATCCATCATACCTTTTTTATTCGGACACCCTTCAAACTCATCTCCAGTTGATTCTCCAAATTTTGCAGTTCGTTAATGCCCAAACCAGAAAGTTGTGCACCCATGAGTTGCCTACGTGCATGTTTACCAAAAGGCAATCATATATACTTTTGAAACAATATAATTTTTTAGTTAAACCAATAAAGATGGAATTGTTGACCTTTATAATCCTTTTTAATTGATGCTTTGAATTCTTAGTCATCATGATATAATTGATATAATAGTAAACAAATATATATATTGATGTATGAAATTGAACACAAGATTTCTTTTGTTACTTATCCAGTGGCTATGGTGTTTAGTACTACTGTATTTACCGGGAACACATGCAATTTTTCAGTTAAAATAATCATTTATTGATAAGTTGTGGTTTACTAAATATCTGCAGTTTATTATAATCAGAAAAAGTAGAAATAATTGCTTCTTTTTTCTTTTTTGATTTTTGCTTTGAGAAAGCATACAAATTGGATGAGTTCAAAGGCAGTACTGTGTTGTAGTGCCTTTTCTTTTTCCTCCGTGTCATCATGTGTTTTGCCACCTAAAACTTAACAATGCTTATTATTCCAATGTTTGCGATGCTTTTATTATACAGTTATCTTGCTATTGAGTGGTTAATTAGAAACAGTTACCTGTGGCATTCCTGCAAATGTTGCAGTTGTTGCCTCAATACAATCACTTCTCTCTGCCAAAGCTACGAAGTGCAAACACAGAGATAGATATATATATATATATATATCAAATAAACATAAGATATAAATATTGTATCAAATAAAGAGCAATGCAAATGTAAGAATTCAAAGTATCAAATAACTTTGACTACTCTTGCGTACTGTTCATTTGGTAAAGTTAAGTTGTGGGATTATTTTATGGAAATAATACAAGTATATATATCGTAGGATCATCATTTTGGAAATCAAAGCAACATGAATCTCGAGGCATATATGGCCAGAATGGAGTGCATGGTCAAGAATGTTGATGAACATGAACAAGTCTCTGGGATAACATGAGATGATCAGTTTTCAAGTATAAAAACCTATCCAAAAAGTATTGAAGAGAAGATAGTAAGGATGCATGGACGAAGCCCTATATCAACAAGAATGGAAGTTTAGTGGCAGAAGGAGTAAGCAAGAATGATCCCTAGGGATTTCAGGATAGTCGAGGTTGGCATATGCTAGTTGGGTTCAATGATGTGCCTCAGAAGCAGAAATTATAAACAGCCGTGGGTTTGAAAGTTAGTGCCCTTAACTTGTTCTATTGGACTTAAACTATATCTCTAATCTCTCTTTGGAGTTCTTTCAAGACCAAGGTTTGCTTAACAGATTTCATTTTTATCAGTAAAGTGACAACACTAAGCGATGTGAAACTCATGACAGACCTCTCTCGTGTGTTCATGAGGATCATTTTGAGGAAAATATGAGGATGTGGAATTGTGCCTAAGACCCTAGAAAAGACAAGGGGTGACTATGATGAGCTAGAAAGCACTGTGGGAGAAAAGATTTTGGCAGTGGAATTTGAGTCTAATCCTTCAATGAAGATTCCAACTCTTATTGATGAGAGTAAAGTTTTTATTGGGCATTCCTATGCCTAGTTGTATAGATTAGAATTTTGAGCTTTCTTTGGGTTTATTGAATGCATGTACGTCAAGAATACTGATGGGCAAAAAGGTGATTATATATGGGTTTTTAGCAAGGACCTAGTGTTCTGTTAAGAAGGTATGCCGCAACTTACTGCACAACGTATAGCACTTTGACCCTATCATTCAGAGACGTAAGTTTACAACTATATATATGTAATGTTTTAGCTAAATTAAATATGTATCCCCAAAGGGCTTAAACTATTGGGAAGACAATTAACCATATATAGTTTTAATTCAACCATAGTTAAGCCCAGAATAATAACATAACCAAATCTCCTGTTCCTTATAGTGTGTTCCTGATGTTTTATAATTCTACTTGGAAAACTAGTGTATGTTAGTTCATCTTTTGCGATAGCATTAGAAAGCCTCATTAGAATCATAAAAAGCTAGTTGGATGACAAATGATGTTTGACATATCTCTGGAGCGCAATTGACTTTTTACACAAAAACTACTTTAAAATTGGAACAAACTTTCTCTGGCTTTTGGCTTTTTTTCAACTTTGAACCTTCTTAAATTGCCTTTCAATATATCCATTCAAACAAATTTCTGCTAAACTAACTTTTTTCCATAAAAATCTATTCGAACACAAATCACGTTGCACTAATTTACTATAACTCAAACTTCAGTTTGCTATAATCATTTTGGAAAAAAGTCACATTTCACAATGTCAATCCAAACAAGCCCAATATCAGGACCATGCTTTGTTAATGCCTAGTAGCAAGGTATGATTTATATGAAAAAAACATTAATGTAAATTATTTGGAGGATGGCATTTGGTGTGTTGTACCTTGACTTCCGAATCAGGATTCACATGCTGATGTTGTTCAACTTTTACTTGGTTGTAGCGCTCAATAATAGATCTCATGCTGCCATAAACGAAGAGTCAATTAGTAATTAAAATGAAAAAACAAAAGGATCCTCCTTTTTCTTTAATCTAATGTAAACCAAATAACCTTAGTTATCATGCATTCCACCTTTTATTTGGACATGGTAGATTGAATACATAATATAAAATTTATCTCTATATTGATGAGGATGCAAGCCCCAAAAATATATCCTTTTGACACCAAGCTATGCAAATTTCAAGTAGCTGCTAACTGAAAAGAAACACACACACACACACACACACAGAGTAGTGATTTGTTCTGATATTATTTAATCATTTTCTGTTACACACATATCTGTAGCATCCAAATTTTAATGTTGAAAATAATTTTGTAATTGTTTAAATCATAAAACAATGTCATGATTAAAAGAGCAATCAAATATCAGAACCTAATGCGCGATTATGAATCTTTTTTAAATTTGCAATGAGATTAATATAAGTACAGTCATTACAGCACTTACTTATACTTCAATGGTATCCAGTAGTTACTTATGTTTCAGAAAAGCTGATACTCGTCTGATCTTTTGCAGGGGCAGAAAAATGACTTGAACTTAAAATGGTTATACTGTACTAATTGAGAATTTTGAAACCTTACGTTTTGACTATATTTTAACGATGCGATATTTATAAATGTTCATTATGTCATTAAATATTCTTTAAAAAGTATTTCTATATATTACATTATTATTGACAATTTGGTAACAAAATTAAGCTTTTATTTCTAATCATTTAATTACCAGGAATTTACACAAACACAAATATGTGGTGTTGTATTTTAACTTACATGAGTTAACATATAATTATCCTTGTAAAAAATTAAAAAGCACCATAACATGCTAATTAAAATCTTTAAAAAAAAATACTTCAGCCTTAATCAATCCCCCCCTAACTTGGAAGAAATAGTTACTTATCAACTATATATTTTCAATTCTTGTCCAGCTCTAAAGACGAACAGGTAATTGTCCAAAATAGAGTACTAATCAATTTAGCATCCAAACCATGTATTTTTATTAGAATTGAATGAACTACGACCGATGAAGAATTAAAACATGTTCGAGTACTTGTCTGTGCGTGTTTTATTAAAACTCGTTTTAAATTGGTTAGATTAAAGTAGCATCCAGCAGCTTGATATTATTTTCCAATTGTATTTAGTACACTAATCCTATTTATGGTGTATGCAACACCTTGATGTTATTTTTATGGTGCTTCTAGTACTTTAATATTTATTTATAGTGCATCTGCCATCCCAAATCATAAATAAGATTGGAGTGTTGGATTACATTAGGGGATGTTGGATGTATCAGGAAAATGACATCTGGGTGCTGAATGCATCATAAATAAAATTAGAATGCTAAATTGGATGTTACTTTACCATTTTAAATTTGCAAAACTTAGTTTTGTTTTCTCAAAATTTTATTTAGCATTCGTTAACCCAAAAGATTTGAAAACGACTATATATAATAAATATTAGTTATGCTATGTAAGGGGAAAAACTACTTCTTTCATTCTTAATGTAAGAGTTACTCAATTAATTTAGGTAGATTAAAGAAGCTAAATAAATTATTTAATTCTAACAAATATGACATAATCTCCTTCAAATACTCCTACAGAACATTCTACTACATATCCTTCTATAGATTAAATAAGTGAGTTTGACAAGAAAAAAGAAAAATTTGATAGATAAATAAATTAAGGTTTTATATTTAAGACTAAAATCAACTCCTTAACTAACTTCTACATTTAAGAACAAAAGAATATATAGTTTGAAGATTCAAAATAGACGGTCAAGCCATAGCACAAGTACATACACCTCTCAGTTGTATACAAACCCAGTCCTTACTAATATGCTATAACATAAACATTACAAATTGCCTAGTTCTATTGGATCCCAATATCACCAAATATTTATCACAAGTTAATAAACCAATCAAAATAAGTGAATCATCATAATAGTGTGCAAAATCGCTTATGCACGTATATATAAAATCAATGAATTATTCAGCAGTTCACCAGAAGATATATATTTTTTGAAATCTAAAAGTATCTTATGCATGCATAACTTTTCAAAGTATCATAGTATCAATGCTTAGAGACTATCTGCTTAGGTACGGAAAAGGCATCTACAGTGTACAATCTAATATTCATCTTATGTAGTTCAATTAGTCTGAATCTCTTAGAATTTTATTTTTCATTGTAATGTTTGAAAGAAGAAGAGAGAAAAAGAGGTGATGATTGGACCTTAAACATGCTTCAATTATTGTGTTAAAATTTCTTCTTTTCGAACTTTAAATATCTTTACAACAGTAACTCTAGATTTTTTTTTATAGCAAAACAGTAACTCTAGATTGAATTCTAAGAGTAGCACAATTTTTTTCATCGATCGCTGTCATAGAAAGATTCAACAGAGCTTTACTTCGAGAGTCTAACATAACCCTTCTCTTTTTCCCAGATTTGGGACTCGCTATAAAACATAGATAGAGTTAGATAGAATTCTTAGAATAACATGACCCTCCTTCTTTTCCCAAGTTTGGAGCCGGCTATAAAACATCGATAGAGTTAGATAATATTCTTAGAATACTTTCAAATATTCCTCTTCATCGAATTCACTGCCTAGCATCTTCTATATCTGAATTTTAGAAAGTGTGTAACTGTCAATCATTGGGTTAATCAGGCAATCTAATCAACATATTATTGGCTCAAATTAAGAATGACCCACAAAAGGGCACAAAAAACAAAGATAAGAGAAAAGAACATGAACAAAAAGAACAAAGATCTCAGCTAGCAGAAGGGCGAAGAGTTTCTTATATATCACATATTCATCAGAGCTTGCATGCATGGAAATTTTGATATCCGTCACGCATTTAGAAGGAGAAAACTAATAGCCAAACGTACTACTAAACATCAATTACAAGCTCACAGCTTGATACTCTTGGTGAATAATATATGTTCAAGTGGGTGTTTTATACATATATATATATTTTAATTTCAAGAAAACTTGACACAGTAAAAAGAAAAATGAAGAAGTCAAAGCCAGATCAAAAGATGCGCTAGTTTCTGGTAAAACAAAGAAATGTAAACGAATTGGGAACAAGGAATATATACACACATACACATATGCATACCTGGAGCTTCCATATTCATAGAGCCTGCCAGTGCTGGAGAACACAATCACGCCAACTTGCGCGTCGCAGAGGATCGAAAGCTCTCTTGCTTTCTTGAGCAATCCATTTCTTCTCTTAGAGAAAGTCACTTGCCTGCTTGCTGAATCTTCAATCCTCTTAATCACAATCTTCCCTCTCCCCATTTTAATTTCTCTTTATAAGGCCTTCGCCTTTCAGATCAACCACACAAACAATCAGCAAATATTGTATCTCGTCGAACAAATTCACAATCAAAAACACCGTTCCAGAAGCGGAATCAAAATAAATTGTACTGATACCATATAGATAGAACATGGAGAAATAAAAACAAGGGAGAATCTTAATCAGTAGTGCATATATGCCTCAGAAGCGGAAATTTACGGCAAAAAATGTTAAGAGTTGGCCGAAGAAGTTGAAGAAGAGGATTTTTTTTTCTTCTTCTTTTCTTTCCTCTCTCTTTTGGAAGGTCCGAGTGACAGAGGCTTTCTATGAATGATGTTGAAGTTCGAACACTTTATACGGAAAGCCTGAAGTAGCATTATTTTGTTTGTCTCGATTTTCATAATTCTGGGCTTTAAATATTTTTTTAGTGGGGAAAAGGGAAAACCGGGTTGGGCAGCAAGAAAACCGGTTTGTGGATAAAAAAAAAAAAACTCCTTTAGTACTTAACGTGGAATTTAATTGAGAAGTTGATATTGGTCATATATGAAAGACTTATTTTACATATTTATCAATTTTTTTTCAAACTAACTATTAATATTCCCTAATAATAATCAAGTAAGAAGGGAAGAAAGGTAATTAAGGAAGTTGCTTAAAGTATTTAAAAAAATCATATTAATTAATTGGTTAAGGTGCATCCAATATCTCAAAATATTTTCTCACCTACATTTAACACCCCGAAATATTTTTGTAGTGTATCAAGCATCCCAAGATATTTTTAAGGTGCGTCTAGTATCCTGAAATATTTATTTTTGCCTTGATGCCGGATGCGTCCAAAAAAAACTCTAAAGTGCTGGATGAACCGAAAGATACTTTACGGTGCTGGACGGACCTAAAAAAAGTTTTCAAAATGCTGAATGTCTCGAAATATTTTTTCAGTTGCATTCAACACCCCGAAATATTTTGTGGTTCATCCAACATCTCAAAGTATTTTTAAGATGTGTTTAGCACCTTGAAGTATTTATTTTTGCCTTGGCACTGGATTCATCAAAAAATATTTTTGGTGCTGAATGTATCTGAAAAAATTTTAAAGTGCTGATGCACCGAAAAATATTTTACGGTACTAAATACATCTAAAAAATATTTCAAAATACTAAATACACCTGAAAAAATATTTCACCATGGTGAATGCAATTTATTATTCAAATTAATTAGGTATGCGGCTTAAACGCTCGAGTGTTGCTGAGGGGAAGCATCGAAGAAGGAACTGAAGCCAACTGAGTGACAGATGTCGAATGGAGAGAGCAAGTATGGGGCGCGTGAAATATGTGAGGGTGGGGAGTTCGTATGTGGGATCCAGGAGTCGATGGAGCTTGGAGAGCGATGAATTTTTGGATTAGTAGACAAGTGGGGAGGTGACACGTGGACTTATGAAAGTAGAGGACAAGCGTTGGTTAAGGATTTGGCTCTAAAGTAACCAGGCTTGTTGGTCTCATTGTCTCATAGCATTAGCTCATTTTAAGTTATTTTAAATAAATAAATAAATTTTATACCATGAAATGTATAAGGGGTTTTATTCAAGTAATTATGAACTTTGCTAAATAAGCACAAAATAAGAGCTTTGGCAGTGAAAGCCAAAGACTTTATGCTACTTTTATGTTAATACTATCTCTGGTCCTTAATATAAGACCCCGTTTGACTTTTAGTTTAGTCCTAATTTTAAGACCCCAATCTATTTTGTCTCTCATATTTATGTATTGTTTTCCAAGATAGTCCTTTTAATAATGATAGTTCTAGCCAATACACTTAATTAGTAAGGATATTTTAGGAATGACAACACTTATTTATTACAAATAATTAACTTAACTTACTTCATTAGTCTCCTCAAATTAGTCAACTAGATTTTATAATTAGGACCAGAGGTAACATATCCCTTCTTCTATATGCTTCTTTTAATCCCCAAGTCTCTTGTTCTCTCTTGTAGCAATATTTTGAACAATTAAAAACCAATAAGTGTGTGTATAACGTATACGCAAGTGTAAATGTATTCGGAACCGGATGAGATGGGCATAGCCTATCCCTATCATATCAGTTCCATATTAAATTTTGTAAATTTTGTGTTTTTTTTTTTGTTTTTACCTATATCATTCCGTCCTAATAGCCTTGGGCAAAGATAAGGCCATTCAAGATTAAGTCAGCACAAATGAAAATGGCAAAGTATTGATCAAGCGAGTTAATTTGAGAAAGTGACTTTTCGCATACTCCGCAGAGTAAATTTGAGAAAGTAACTTTTCGCACGGGTCTACATACTCTACACATAAATCTATGAACAGAACATGCTCAGTGCAGCATTTAGGGGATGAGGGTGGTACCCTTTTTTTTTTAATTAAATTTTATTTTTTGTTTATTTGTGTTATGTTGTATACAACACTTTGAAATTTTTTTTAGCAGCACTCAATAAATTTATGACAGTGGATGTTATTGGAAAAATACTCTAGAATCTGTAGTACTAGATACTTCCTCCATTCTTATTTATAAGCTTTAAATTTGAAGAGGGGTGTAGTCCATTTTATAAGCTTTAATTTGGGTTTGTCTAAACATTTAATATATTTTTTTCAAATTTATCCTTAATTATTTGTTCTCTCTCATTTGTCATACTTTCTTAATACATTTTTCCATATATTCTCTTTCATTTTTTCGCATTTATCATAAAGACATGTTTGAAAACAAAACTATATTTCTAACCTATTTGTTGCTCTTAATTAATTTTAACAAATTGTTGGTTATCCTAAAATTAGTTATTTGAAGTTGATAATAAAGACAGCGGGGAGTATATTTTAACCAAAATAAACAAAAAATAAAATTAATGAAAAAACGGGGGAAAAAATAGGTATCCGGATCCCATCCCCAAACACTACCGTTTGGGGGATGAGCACTCCTACCCATCGATTGGACAAGCAGGGAGGATTCCTTTCGCTGGTTGGCCATGAATTGGAAGAGTTTGTACCATTTGGATAAAATTATAGAGCACTGGTTTTCGGATTGAATGAGGTTTCCGAAAATGGAAGCTTTTTCCGAGCCAGGGCTAGTGGCCTGTTTATGGAGATTGACATTAAATTACACAACCCCGTTCCCAATGACGAGCCTGCCATATTATTTTCAAAATCATAAAGCTGGTGTTGGAACTTGTAATCATCGGCCATTCTCTAATACTCCGATTCTATTTATAAAGCATTTCTAATATATTTCACACAGATTAAAAAAAAAACTTTAAAATGCATTAATTTTTTATTAAAATATAACAACTTTTTAACTTTATTTTTATTTAATATATATATCTTTCAAAAAACATAACTATCTATACTATAATAAATGAAGAACGAAATAGTATGTTCATACTAAAAATTTAATGAAGTGACTTATAAATAGGACAAAAAAAATCTCTCTCTGCCCTCTAAATAGAGCCAAAGGAGTATATAGGTTGAATCTTCTGCAATAAATTTGGCATGCATCTTACTCTGAAAAGTTATTGCACACGATGTGTTTAAAACAGTCATTTTTAGAATATTTTTGGTTTAATATTTAAAGTAGTACTCAAGCAGATAGTACATCTTTAAATTTTTAACATAAACGTGTTATTTTACTATTCATTTGTTATTATGTAAATTGTTACCACCTCCGATCCTTAATATAAGACCTTATGTGACTTCTATTTTAGTCCTAAATATAAAACCTCAATCTATTTTATCTCTTATACTTATTAATAATTTCTTAAGATAGTTCTATTAATAATGAAAATTCTAACTAATAAACTTGATTAACAAAGATATTTCAGAAAAGACAATACCTATTTATAACAAATAACTAATTTAACTCATTTTCTTAATTTAATCAAATTAGTTAACTAGTTCTTATATTGAAGACCGGAGGTAATATTTTCTTAAAAAGTGATATATTAAATAGTGATGACATTGAAAAATTATTAAATTTTAAGACAAAATTAATGAGTTATTTTTTAATTTTGATAAAATATGTATGAAGTGATTTATAAATAGAATCGGAGGAGTATTCCTCAAGTGCTCTAATAGCCAATGGCCACAGTTTGAGTAAGTGTGACTTTGATAATAGATGAACTCCATGTTATAGCTAATCATGTCTATAGTGAGTTAAAGCCTATATATATGCTTTATTATGAATGTGTCTAATAGTTTCAAGCATGTATATTAATTTGACAGAGTTCCTAGTCTAACGTACATGTTTATATGCTTGACTAGGATTTCAATAATATATCATGTGGTTTATATGTACGTAGATTAAGTGAATGTCTCTAGGAAGTCTTATAAATTAATTGGGAGCAAAAAAAATTAGTTGGACAAAATAGTATACTTATTATCACTTTTTTTTGGGGGGGGGGGGATTTTTTTTTTTGGGGGGTATAAGGGCAACTGACTTTTTTCCCAATGCTACTTTAAAATTGAAGCAATTTTCAGATTTGAACCTTCTAAAAGTAACTTTTCAATATAGCAATCAAACAAGTTCCTGTTTAAACTAATATTTTTTTAATAAAAAATTCTGCTCAAATATAAATTACATTATATTAATTGACTTTAATTTTATCCCAACTTCAATAAACAAAAGTCAGCTGGGATAATAAAAGTAACTTTTATCAATGTTAATTCAAATAAGCCCTTGGGATATATGTGTTCAGGATGACGGTTATGATATAAGTATACTAAAGAAAATAAATGCAAAATGGGAAATTAATTACCAAATTTTTCTCTTTCAAATTGGAGTCATCGTTTTCAGTTATATTTCAGAATTTCTATTATTTTTTTCACATAATAATAAAATTATAAATATTCCTTATAATTTTTCGATTTTTTCCAACTGAATTGATTGGCCTCTTACACGACACACTTGCACACCATTTGGCAGAAGATGCGGATCTATCAGCAGCTCAAAAGAACGGATATAGATTCTCCCAAATTGATTGTTACTTTTGGTG